TGAGACACAAACCAACTAAAATGAGATTTAAAACGACACAAAACAAAAATAAATGAGACATAATGACTAAAACCAGACAGAAAATTAGCCACGCGTCTCGTTCTTTGCGGTAGATTTTAGAGGTTGTAGAACTTCAACACCTGACATGTTTATGAAGATTAAAGCGGGTCAACATGTTCTAGTGACACCAGAACCACGTGTCTGCCTCTATGAACACACAACAACCCGATTGTGTTTCAGCGCCACAGGAAGCTCCGACCGGCGTCTCCACGTCGGTCAACAACAGCACAGTGACGGTGACGTGGAACCAGGCCCAGAAGGTCCGAGGCCATCTGCTGGGATACAAGGTACTGAGTCCACACAGACTCTGATCGGTTCTGTTTTAACCAGAGACAGGAGCAGACGGCGCCCCCATGAGGCTCCTGCAGAGCATCTCACCCACAGAAGAGCCAGACTCAGAGTCTGACTGCTGTCTGGGAAAAGCTTTTATACTGGTTTTACTGGGATCACTCCAGAGGTCACCATCTGAAGAGTAACTCTGCTTTCAGCTCAGCAACACTTCTCCTAGAATCAGCGTCAGTATTATGGGATGTATCATCGGATGTGTCTCTGTTCCAGTTTGTCCAGACTGTGTCAGACGCTGCCATCAAAGGACAACAATCGTCTGAAAATGTCCAGAATGAGCCACAAATTGTGCAAAACACCTCCTGGTTTACCCAGAAGGCCTTGAAACGTCTCCCAGAACGAGTCCGGAACCCAAATCATGAAAACTCATCCGAAATGCCCAGAAACGTTTTCAGAGTTTTCCCAAACTCAAATGGTTCAGATGGTCTAAAAGTCTGTCCCGGTTAGAAATGAGCAAAACATTTTCCAACGTTATTTAAAACCGATCCAACATCCCTCAAAACGTTTCCAATCAAAGTTCAAACCAGCAGTATTATGGGATGTAGCATAGTTGGAACTGTTTAATGTCGAAGAAGTTTGTCCAAGATCATTAAATAAATGTCATCTTGGACATCTTTTGAGAGATTTTGACCAAATGTCTCATTTCAGACGTCTTGGTCATTTAGGAGGTGGTTTTGAATCATTTTTGATATTTTTTTCCATTTTGTCCAAGTTTTGAGTGATTTTGGAAAAGTTTTGCACAAGTGTGACGTAGTTTGACCAATCTGGTTCATTTTGGGCAATTATTCAGTCATTGTGGACGAACTGTTGGACATTTCCAACAGGTTTGGGACATCTTGGACATTTTTTGAATCTTTTTACCACATTTTTCATTTCGGACAACGTTAGGCTGTTTATAACTCATTTAGGAGGTGGTTTGAATCATTTTTGACCGTTTTTTTTTCCCCATTTTGGTCGAGTTTTGAGGCATTTTGCAGAAGTGTGACGTGTTTTTGTGTAATTTTGGATAAACTGATAAAGCAAAGACATCAACCTGCTGCAGTGTCACTGTTCAAACTATGATCCATCCCATAATACTGACGCTCACAGTAACAGTCTATGTTGGAGCTCAATACAGTTGGTTCCATAGTCTCTGAGTCATTTTTAAATATTTTTGGGAGAATTTAGGAGAATTTTCTGCAAGTTTTTAGTAATTTTGGCTGAATTTGACCTCATTTAGGAGTTTTTTTTAGTCATTTTTGTCCCGTTTTGAATGATTCTGGACAGATTTAGTCTTTTTGGTCCATTTTTCGGTCGTGTTGGAGACGGATGAGGTACATCGAAGACATTAAAAGTCATTTTGGGCCCTTTAGAGTCATTGTTGGACCAGTTGACTAAAATGAGTAAAACTTTGGGAAGGTTTTGGAGAACTTCTGTGATTTTGGACACTTTTTTCTGCAGTTCGATCTTTTAGAACAGGGTTTGAAGAACGTTGGACACGTTTCTGTCACGTGTTCAGTCGTTCTGGACAAGTTGAGTCTATCGGGACCGTTTTAGCTCATTTTGGATAAATCATGAGTCACGTTTGAAAAGTTTGAGGTCCTTTAGGGTCAGTTTGAGGCGTTCTGATCCGTTCTGTGGTCTGTTGAGTGTTTCAGCCTCACTGACCGACTCTTGCCTGCAGATCTACATCCGGAGGTTGGGTCCTCAGGACAGACGCCGCCGCCGCTCACCGGGAAAACACCACCAGGAGGACCGGGAGGGCCGAGCGGACCGGGGCCGGGACCGGGAGCTGGACCGGGTGGTGGTGGTCTGGGGCTCCAAGACGTCGGAGGAGGTGACGGGCCTGCGGCTGTTCTCCCACTACCAGCTGTCGCTCACCGCCTTCAACAGCAAAGGAGAGAGTCCGGCCTCGACGCCACACCTGTTCAACACACCTGAGGGAGGTGGGTTCGTGTTCAGGGCCGACATTTGATTATATCTGCGTCTCATTATAGATTTATCTTTTGGAAAAATCACCAGAACTACACAGAAAGAAGCATCGAATGAGCTACAGTTCAGCTTCTACCTGCTCATGTAAAAATTCACCAAAAATAAAGTGTTTGTTATTAAAAGATTCTGTCAGAAACTAGAAGCTCTGTGTTCCTCTGAGCAGCTGTAAAACCACGACTGACTCCAACAGTCACGGGACCAACATTCATAGATTTCAGCTCAGTTTACCCGAATCTACAAACGTGATGTTTCATCCAAATCACTTCGTTCTGCACGTCTCATTTAAAGATGTGTTAAAAGAACAATATTTGATTTAACGAGATGATGTCAGAAACAAAGAAGTGACTCAGCTACAACCAACAGCCGTCAGACAAACAGCCACTGACTGCAGGCTGTGTTTCCACAGAGCAGAAAGGAAACTAAACGTGTAAATGGTTGAATATGTACAATCTGTGGAGCCTCCGTTTTATCGTTCCAGCGCTCATGACATCTTGAAACACGACTTAGAAGAACGTTGTACATATTTATTACAAGATTTGTCTGTTTTTGCCCGTTAAATAATCCATGAAATTCAACTTTCTTGATGAAATAACAACAAAATAAAACTGAATGAAATAAAACAATGTATATAGATTATAAAATAGAACAAAACATCAACAAAACAATCCACACAGGATCCAGGGAATGCTTGGATTTGTTGCTCCCATTTTAAAGGTCTTGGTTTGTGTTGTCGTCAGCTGAAGGTGTTTGTTAAATGATTTTTGTAGAGTTTTAAACCTTCACATGATTTAGGTAAACGGTCTTCACTGATGACTCACCTGTGTTGTGTCTGCAGTTCCTGGTCCTCCTGCATCGCTGACCTTCGACAGTCCAACAGAGAAGTCTCTGATCCTCTACTGGACGCCTCCTCTGGAAACCAACGGCATCCTGCTGGGATACATGGTTCAGTACCAGAACGGTAAAAAAACCCAACAGCTTTCTTCATACTGGATTAGAGAATAAAAGTAGAGTTTAACCAGGAAAAGAAGTTTTCAAATAGTTCCTCCAACCAGAACCTCCTCAGAACATCTGGTTCTGGTTCTGCAGCACCTTCAACTACTGACCAGAGTTCTACCTTCAGACTGTGAATGTTCCAGAGGTCCAGGTCCTTGAAGTCCACAGAGGAGGGTCCAGACTGATCACCGTAGTCGACCTTCTCCATCATTTCTGATGTCATGTGTCTATCTGCTGTACTGATGAGGTTCTGAGGCTCAGAAATGATGGAAAAAGTCCATTACAGTGATCAATGTGGACCCTCCTCTGTGGACTTCAAGGACCTGGACCTCTCCACTGAATGCTCTGACTTAGTTTAAAGTCAGGATGGAGAACAGCTTCTGTGTGGAGTTAAAAGTAAACGACCCACAACCGTTCAGGTCACTCAGTAATATTCACACTGTGAAGGTGGAGCTCTGCTTCGTTAAACGAGGTTCCTCTGGATGAAGAACCAGCTGATTCTGAGGAGGACCTTTACACTAAAAGTAGTCGAGTACCTGTACTCAGTTACCTCCCGGTTCCGTCTCCCCTGTAGAGGTCCAGAGCAGTCACCTGGAGATGCAGACCATCAGCGACCCCAACGTGAACCACGTCCTGCTGGAGGACCTGGACCCCAGCAGTTACTACATCCTGAAGGTGATCGCTCGCACCGCCACTGGAGACGGAGCTCCCATCGAGCTGAGGGGCGCCACCCTGCTGGACGGAGGTGAAGCTGCACCTCCTGCATTCTATCTGTCATCAGTTAAAGTCCGTTGACGTGATGCATTCTGTCGTGAAACTCTCACGTGGATCCTGCAGCTGTTTCATAAACTCAGAGGAAATAATCCGAAGAAACAAGCCAGACCTGGTTTATTAGAACCCAAACTTCATTCATTCATCTGAGCCGCTGCAGCAAAACGGTTTATATTCAGTTTATAGCCGAATGGATTTGAAAATGTAGCGCAAACTGAATGAGAAAGGTTTCTTTGGTTCTGTTAGTCCGTCATTCTCCACATTAAATCATCCTTTAAAACATTTCACTTTAAAATTACACGTTTTCTACTCGACTGTAAAAGATGTGCCAAAAACAAAAAACATCTGGTAGCAGCATGACAGAAAAACAGTAGAAACAGCAGGTTTTAACACAAACAAACAAAAAAAAAAAAAAAAAGGGGAAAAAAACAACATTCTTTACTATTTAAATACTGTAAAAGATCACATTACAATTATTACATCTACAGAATTCTTAATGTTTTACAGTTTGGACTTTTTTATGGTAGTAAACATGTAAATGAATTCCTGTTATCTGTGATTCTACCAGATATTCTCTGTAACTTAAATATCAGTGACTTGCTGAAGATGAGATTTGTGGCAGGTTTGAAATTAACTCTTATTGGTTCTTTTTTATTATTTTTTAAGCAAAAATAAAGAGAGAAAATCTTTATCACAACAGGGAACATCTGCTCAAAAACTTGCAGTGAAACATTGACGATAAAAGATTCAGACGTGAAGCAGGTCTCTTATTTTGAAATCCTCTCCGCCTGCAGTTCCTCCGTCCAACATCACCGTCACCTCCAGCAACACGTCCTTCAACCTGAGCTGGGTTCCCGGAGAGCGGGACCGGAACCACGGCTTCCACATCGAGTACATGAAGAAGCCCGGTAAGAACGGAACCAGGAAGCGGCTCGGTGCTGTCAGAAACCAGAACCAGAACCGGCTTTGTTAACCCGTTTGTTCCCGTCAGGCGCCGCTCAGTTCGAGAAGTCGGAGCTGCTCAACTCCACGCAGGGCTTCTACTCGCTGACGGGCCTCCAGCCGGGGAGCGAGTACCACCTGCTCATCAAGATCGGGAACGACACCCAGTGGGAGGCGGTGAAGTGGACCGACGGACCAGGTTTCTGGACTTCAGCTTCTGTTCTGACCCTTACAGACGTCTCTAGTGTTTCCTCTGCTGTTGTGTCAAAATGGACGAGTTCTGTCAGAGCTGAAGTCATAAGATGAAGGTCCACTTTCTTGTTTGTCGTGTCGTAGAACCGATTCTATCTCCTCTCATGTTAACAGAGTCCACGTTCTGCTTTTTGCTTCCTTTTTACTTTCAGTTTGTTCTAAAACTGCATCTCTGTGCCTGTAGAAGGTCTGCAAGCTGGAGTCATTTTGTACCTTTTCTTTGTCACGCTGAGGTATTTTAGACACATTTTGAATCCCTGTGGACACGTTTGAGTCATTTCAGACTCATTTTTAGACAAATTCTGTCATTCTGGATGATTTTCTAGTAGTTTTGCACCAAGTTCAAGCATTTTGGGACAATGTTGAAGTCGTTTAAAACTAATTTTAGGTCATTTTAGGCAATTTTGGGAATTTTTTGTGGCTATACATGTTTCCAAATTTAGATTAGCATAATTTTGGACCTTTTTTAAATTATTTTTTTAATGCATTTCAGAGAAATCTTGACTAATTCTGAACAATTGTTGAGTCATTTTGTCCATTTTTGTGTCGTAGTTGACGAGTTTTGTCAGAGCTGAAGAGTTCAGAGTCAGTCAGACCCACAGAGACTCGATTAACTCGTTAAACGTCCACATTCTTCTTTGTCGAGTCCTTCGTCGTGTCGTAGAACCGATTCTTCCTCTCATGTCAGCGTAAACAGCAGGTACATCACTATGAATGCCGTTGCTGACCTCCGTTTGTCTCTCAGTGCCGTCGGAGATGCCCGGAGGTTTCGCCACTCAGGGCTGGCTGATCGGACTCATCAGCGCCATCGTGCTGCTGGTTCTGATTCTGCTGATTCTGTGCCTCATCAAACGCAGCAAAGGAGGAAAATACGCAGGTAAGACCAGTGCTCAGGTAAAACCAGCGCTCGGCTAAAACCGGCGCTCGGGTAAAACCGGCGCTCGGCTAAAACCGGCGCTCGGCTAAAACCGGCGCTCGGGTAAGACCAGCGCTCGGTTAAATGACCAGAAAATGTCCAGACTCTGACCTCAGCCTGCTCCCCACAGTGAAGGACAAGGAGGACAAGGAGGTGGACTCTGAAGCTCGGCCCATGAAAGACGAGACCTTCGGAGAGTACAGGTGAGCCTCAGCCGGCTTCACTGTTTCCCACAGGACGCTGGAGAGACAAGAACATTATTAGATTGATCCTCTGTTTTGGACACGTTTTGAACATTTTAGTTTTTTGTCATTTTGACTGCGTTTAAAGTCTTTTGGACACGTTTAAATCACTTCAAACCCATTTTAAGTACTTTTAGGCCATTTTGGGTTTGTTGTGGACGGACATGTCTGCACATTTGTGTTGGTGTCGCTTTTGGATGGACTCATTCTGGAAGTTTTTATCATTCTGAATGTCCATTTCCAGTCATTCTGGACAGATTGTGACTAGTTCTGGACGAGCATTGAGTCGTCTTGTTCACTTGTTTTGTCAATTTGATGACATTTTTACTTATTTTGGACAATTTTTAAATCATTTCAAGCAAATTATGAGTCGATGTGAACAACTACGTCCTTTTTGGACCATTTTTAAAAAAACTTTGATGATATAAAAAGTCTTGAATTTGACTATTTTGGACACGTTTTATGTGGTTCTGGGTAACGTTTACGTCACTGTTGATAAAGTTTAGGCCATCTTGGACAGTTGTGTTGTTCTGAATGCATTTCGGTCATTTTGGATGATTCTTGACTAATTGTGGGGAAGTTTTGAGTCATTCTGGATGTTTTTTAAAGACATTTTGATCTGAATTGTTAGCATGACCCATAGAGACACACTGAAGCGTCCCTGTTCTTCTTTGTGGTTCCTTCTTTCCTTCACTGTGTTATACGTAGATCTGCTTCTGCAAAGTCTGACGCTTCAGTTTGAGTCATTTCTTGTATGAATGTTTTCAGCTGTGTGTTTCTTGGTACTTGCAGCCTTTTATCTCATTTATCTTTCTTCCTTTAACGCCTGCAGATCTCTGGAGAGGTGAGGAACTCAGCCTGATGCATGTTTCTGTCTAGTTCTGTGCTGTGACGGTGTTTCATTACGTTAAATGATGCTGACTGTAAGTCGGTGGAGTTTTCTACGATGGAATCATTGAAACATGAATCCTGTGTTTTGGTTCTTTCCTGGATTTATGAAAGGTCTCCTGGAAATATGAC